GAGGAAGTTTACAGTTAGATTAAAGAAATAGAGACTCGTGCAAATGGTGAACTCTTAGAATAACATTTATTTAACATTTAACAACTTCATAAAAACCTTAGAACTTCAAGCATTAATTATATTGGATTATTACTTGCATTAAACACTTTTATTCAGATACAGTCACTATTTCCTATGCTTCTACACTAGCTGATTAATAGAGAGAGATTATACTTACAGTAGAGTTGGATTGTTAGAGGTCTTAGCCACGTTTGTCATCTTCATTGTCATCTCTTTAGCCTGGAGAACTTCTTCTGGAGAATACTCTTCAGTCCTGGAGAACTTTTTAGCCTCTGACATGGGTTTTTAAAACTATCCTTTCTCTGTATTATTTTGACCCACTAAATAGGACACAGCATCACCCACAAGTAGTCCTGTGCTCCTAGTGAATAATTTAGGGGAATTCCCGGGCTAAACCGAACCATAACCAAAACTCTTAAGTAATTGGTTATAGATAAGTGGTGTTAGCAGGCTGCCTATTCAGTTTGGATTCTTGAGAGATTTGAGGTCAATGGTTGAGTCCAAGTTTCATATCAATCTCCTGGAACTTTTGGCTTTTTGTCAAACTGTGGATCATTTCTTTCCTTTCTGATTGGCAAGTGAGTCGTGATCCATTATAACAACACTGCAGTGGTCTCTTACATCACCCGGCAAGGAGGCATCTCTTCTCAGTCCCTTTGTTTCCGAACATTGGATCTTCTGTTCTGGGCTCACAGCCAGCATGTTCACCTTCAGACTTACCATATCCCAGATGCTCTGTCTTGTTGTGGGTCTGTTATCTCATCTGAACAGGATTGTTCACATAGAGTGGTCCCTCAATCCACAGGTCTTCCAGTGGCTATGCACTCAATTAGGTATGCCCAAGTTAGATACATTGGCCATTTATTGGAACACTAAACTTCCCCTCCTTTGCTCATCAGTTCCACATCCTTCAGCATTGGCAGTAAATGCTTTTTGCCATGATTGGAAGGACTGTTACATTTATGACTATCCTCCCATTTTTCTATTTCCCAGAGTCTTATCCATCAGTCAAACCACTCTGTGTTTAGTCCTTCTCATGTTGCCATTCTAGCCAGACTTTGTTTCCATTACTATAGCTTCTACAGTTGTCACCACCTTTACCTCTTCCTCCTTCCCATCTCTCTTTCATCAACCTTGTGCATTACAGTTTCACCTGTCCTTTCCAACACTCCAGCTTCGTGTGTGGCTTTTGTCCTGATCCTTACAAAAAGGACTTGTCTTTCCACCTGGGTAGCATCCCTTATTTCTGTTCAGTCTGCCCTTCCTCATTATCTGTGTATCAGCACAAATGGTGTGTTTTTTGCCATACATTTCTCTGCTGTGGTCTCATTTTTTCTTGCCCCACTATCCATCACTATTCTATATTTCTTTACAAGGCTCTTCAACGATGTTTTTTTGTTTGTTTTGAGGTTAAGCACAAAGCTACACAAAGAGCTATCTGTGCTCTGCCCACCATGGGTATTGAAACTTGGTTTCTAGCATTGTAAGTCCACAGATGTACTGCTGTGCTACTGGTGGGCAGGTTTTTCTGTGTCGACCATTGCAGACTACTGGGTGGCCTTGTCCTGTATTTTCTGTCCTCTACTTTCTGAGTATCACCATATTTTTTTTTTCTTGTGATGTCCCTTATTGTTTTATTCCTTTCTTATCCTCACAACCCTCTCCTCTACCGGATTGGAATCTGAAGGTAGGCCTACATGCCTTGTCCCTTCTCCTATTTGAACCTTTGGTGGATTATTCCCTGTACCTATTTCCTCCTCCTTTTAGCCTGTGGGCATATTAGTCGGATGTATTTTCCATCGATATCTCATGCATCCTCTACACACCTATGTCATCATATTTCCTGATAGGTCTTCAAGACCTAGGAAGCTAGTGAGGGTAATCAAACATTCATCCCTATTTCTCTACCTTCCATTTCTCTTTTGTATTCTACTGTCCAGTCTGAGCTTTACGATGTTATGTGGTATGCTCAGCTTCCTTCTGAGGTTCCCATTTCGGAATCCTTATCCAGTTACAGGTTATATTTGCCAACTTATTAATTTGGCTTATTTTTCGTTTTCCTTACATGATTGTTGCCTTCTCCAGGTTCCTCTTACCAGATCGGTCATTTCACCATGACCCT